GCGTGGCCAGATGGTGCGGCTGGCTCCCAGCAGCAGCATGCACTCCTGGAGGGCAGGGGGGACCTGCGCCCCCCAGATCTGTGCAAGGCTGGCAGTGGTGTGCCAAGCAAAATGGCCTCGTGTGCCATGCTTGGCACGCGTGCCAGGGGTTGCTGACCCCTGAGTTAGATCCTAGCACCTGTTAGTGCTGTTGAAACAACAGTAACTAGCATTCTACATAAGGAAATAATTGCAATAGTCGTATCAATTCAGTTGCTGCTGCCATGGAAACAGACGTCGGATGGCTAAAAATGGAGCAGGTTGTATTAAGCTAATCACAGTTCTACAAAAAGATAGGTTTGTTTTGTTTTGTTTTTTGGTGAAACTGATTTGTTTAAAGCAACCTGTTCCATTTCCATAGCAACCAGCAGCAGATTTACTAAAATTCATTTTAAATTTGGAACCAAAATACATAAATGTGTAAGGCTTAGATTTGGCCAATAGTTTACATTGAACTCAGGATCCAAAAATAATTCTTTAGATCTATTTTAGCAATTGGTAGAGTACCCCTTCATTTAACATCCAAATGATACATACAGGTTTCCCTTATCAACTGCGGGGGTTAGGTACCTGAAAGTTCCCATGGTTGGCAAAACCGTGGTTGGTAAGACAAAAGGCTTATGGGAAAAATGGGGTTAGGGACTTGAATATGAATAATAAAGGAACATATAGTGTATAAAAATCATTTTTATTTACCTTTAATATAGGGGTTTTTATCCGGGGGTACACGTACCCTTAGGGGTACTTAGACAGGTGATAGGGGGTACATGTGGGTGGGTGAGGACGGAGCACACCTGGGGCACAATGGCGAGGTCTCCCTGGTACATTCGCCTCTTACCCGGAGGAAAGGGAGGGGTGCACCAGGCACCACCAGCCCTGCACAGCACACTACGGTACCTCCCCACCCCCACCTGTCTGAATGGCAGGATGCGGGTGTTTTGTGCTCGCCCCCAGCAGTGCACGATTGGCTGGTCAGCAGCCCACGGAGCCATGACCATAGGAAAATGGTGCAGCACGTGGCGACTGCTGCATGCAAGCACCCCCTCCACCTCCAGCACCGCTGCTATGTGCATCCCCGGGAGGGCACGGTTGGTGGGCTGATGCATGGCCACAGAAAACCTTGGTTACTTAAAACTGTATACCACGGTAGCCAAAATGGTCCATTTAGTCCTGTATATTGCTTCCAGAAGAGGCCAGCTGCAGAAGATTCAGCACCAGGTGCAAGAAATCTCTTTGTAGGTTGTTATAAGCCCTGATACATAATTGCTATTCCAAAGTATTTATTGCATTAAGCTTTCCCTGAAGGAGAAGAAAAATGACACAACATCACCAGAATTTACTCTTTCCTCCTAGAACTATTTGCCACTGTTCTGCAACCAAGCATGCAAATCTTGGATCAGCCTTCTCTGTCATCTAAGGTCATCTATGGACTTACCAATGACTTCCCTATTTACTGGCAGACTGTCATCCTCCTATTGAGGGAAGGATGCCACCACCACCAGCTGCATTAAGTTGTATGATTGGGTATTCTTGTTAAAAATGGTCTGACTTAGAATCAAATGGGGGCCTCTATGGTATAAAGTTTGCAACAGTTGGAGAGTCTCTATTTTTATTGTTTTGTTTTAAAGATCACCTTGCATGAGTGATGCACCAAGAAACCTCTCAGTAAATTAACATCTAGAAACAACCCTCAAAGAGTTGGTAAAATTATTTTGACAGAATATAAAAGCTGCTTTCTTGAAGGTGTAATATAAACACTAGCCTGGCTAAATGAAAATATTGGTGCCTTCTCATTAATCTTATGAAAACCCTAATCCTTTTTCTTTAACTTTCTTCAGTCCTGGAAGCACTCACTTTTGGATGATCATGTGATATTACCACTCCAGCTAGGGGTACTTCTCCCAGTTTCTGCATACTATCACTTTCTCTTGCAAATACAACAGAAACTGTTGAGACTTCCACCTTGGCCACATTAGAAAGAGTTCATCTCTATAGCACTTCCTGTGCTATAGCTATATCAGTAAAAAAGAAGTGCACCTTATATTGGA